TCCATAAGCAAAAGAGGAACTTACATAAAACGCATATCGCAATTAACAGTATTCGATTGTGAATAGAGACTTTAATCGTTTCATCACAGCGGAAAGAGATGTACGATTTCCGGAAAAGTGATATGGCGATCCCTGGATATTCCCTAGGGAGAGATTGTACAAACCGTCGGAAATCGCAGTTTGTACATTATCTCGTCACCTCTGCTTCGCCTCGCAGAGCCTCGCACAAATTTCAATCTATGGCCCGTAGTAAGGCTAACTCATCTCAGGGGCGGTATGTATCAATCGCCCGTCCGGATGAGGGTTACTCAGGTAATGTCCGCTTTGTAGTTCGGTGCTCTGAGGATCTGTGTCCTTCCCTGTTTGTCCATCTTTTAGAGGCTCTACTACCCTAAAATTGTAGCATAATGAACAGCAGCACTTTGCTGTATATGCTGAGATAATTCGTTATTTGTATGATCCCGAACGGGACCCCATGGGATCACGGCTTATTTTCAAAGTCATTTACCTTTGCAAAAACTCAATGAAAACGTCGTTAAGCTGCGCTGACAACCTATCAAAACAGTGCTAAGCATGTTTGTGAAAGGAATAAGTGAAAAATCAAATGGACGAAAGCTTCGATGAACTTCTGCTTGTGAGTTGGGGTTTATCAAAAAAAAAAAAAGACGCAGAACCTCCCCATTTCATCTGTGCTGCTAAAACATGCAAACAACAGCACTGTCTCAATAGATCGACAGTAAAATTTACGACGTTTTTATTGAGATTTTGCAAATATAAATAACTTTGAAAATGAGCGTGAGCCTGTGGGTGTTCGGTATCATACAAAATGAAGAAAATCTCAGCCTATACAGCAGAGTGCTGCTGTTTATTATGCTGCAATTAGGGTAGTAGAGCCTCCAAAAGATGAATAAGCGAGAAAGAACCAGATTCCCAGAGCACCGAGCTTTGAGGCGGATTATCTGAATGAGAACCCTTACCCGAAAGGGCGATCGATACATACTGCCCCAGGTGAACTGAACTGAGGCCCTCAACCAAGATTCCTCAAGGTGAAATGATGACCGCCCCTTTCCATGCTGTAAGAATGCAAAATGAAGGTTCAGTTAATCGTCTTTCTACCTGACGAGGCCGTCTACCTTACTTAAATCACTTCAGATCCAGTTAGACGATGAATTGACTTGAATAGTGTTTTAATGATGAACTTTCCGTAAGTTACTCCTGAGTAAGTTACATGTCGAAGGAATATTGAGTGAGAAGCTACAGTGCAGGCTGACGATACTCAAAGATCTAACAAGTGGGCCACATCTCCGCCTCTAATACCAACCACTTGGTATGAATGTTTTGCGGACGAGTTGCCACATTTGCATGGACGTGGCGTTCATAATCACATCATCGTGGATGGTTGCAATCATCAATCGATGGCTCGACTGAGGACAAGCTGACTCGTCAAAACCTCAGCTTTACTGAGGTTTTTTTTATTCAGTTAAGAACGGATGAGGCAGCTCTACTACGAGCCTATATGTCTGTTTCGCGATCCCAAGTTAGATAATTATGCGCCATGCTTCAAGTTTGAGTTGCATACAACTAATCATTTCAGAAGCATTTCATGTTAATTTAATTTGGGAGGATGACTTTATCCTAGAAGAGGCAAATTTTGAATTACCTACTGGATTTATTTTGGCTTAATGGCATAAGGGGGGACGAGTGGCGTAGTGGTATGAGGCGCCGCCATGACCAGATCGGACACAGGTTCGATCTCCGCCCCTGGGCCAACCAAGCCCTCTACCCTCCGGGGCCGGCAAATTGGTATAGTGTGGACCCCGGCCAGCTTCCCACATGTACCTCCGCGCCGCGAACGCAGCGCATGCCTTCAGTGCTCTTTTCGTCCCAGGACCTATTGGTTTCTATGCGTTCCTCTCTTTATTGAGTTGTTTTTTTCTATAATCTCTTTCTTTCAGGGTCAAACGAACCACACCAGCTGATGATGACAAGTTTTTACGAGCCTCAAAAGTCTTGAGAGCTTCTGTCAAAAGCTCTCGTTTCTTTCCTCGAGGATTAAGTATAGTTTGAAGAGATTTCTTCAGGGTTTCTATCACGGACCAAACGTATCTATTCGATTGAATTTGTTTTGTATAGAAACGTATCTATCCGACTGAGTTTGTTTTGTCTAAATCTTTTAGTTGCTTTTCAATGCGGCAGTGAAGCTTCAGCTTGTTAAATTACGCTCTCCACCTTATGCTTCTAGTTTTTCAATGATTGCAGAAGAGTAACGTTCCAAAAGTAATCCTCTTTCCGCTATTTCTCGATTTTCACCCATCAGTGGTAGTTTTATACTAGTATAAAACTAAACATGAGAATGACAAAGAACCAAGTGTTAGTGGAGGTTGGAAAAGTTTTTTCTTCTGCTTAAGCTTTTCTGGAGGTGAGAATAGAGGGTTCCACTTCTTGTCTCACTCCTATCTTAAGTTAGAGATGATTTCTCGTTCATATGGAATAAGAAGCGTCAACAGTGCGCGCGTTGCGTATGCGCTGCGGAGGTACATATGGGAACCTGGCCGGGGTCCACACTATACCAGAATAATCTGGGAGGATAAAAGCACTGATTTGGAAACGGATGGCCCCCGCAAGACACTTTAATAGGCCCGCACGCATACAATTGCCTCTTCGACTATGAAGTTAGTGTGTGCGTTCGGCGCATACCCTCAGAGGGTATTGAAGACGCAGGATCCTTTATCCTTTATCCTTTAATGGCCTAAGCAAGATGATCATCATAAGCTACATATCTTAGCAAAACTTTTCTCAAGTACTCTTTCAAAGCTTGGCAAATTGACTATCTACGCAGTCACCCCTTTTGCGCTGTTTACGTAGAAAATAAATCCTGATCACTTTTTTCGGCTAGAGCCCATGGCTTGCGAATCTACTTTTTCCAACAAACCCGTGACTTCGCAAAGAGTTCAAGCACCGACTAGTTTTGCGGGGCGAAGCAGCGTGGATCATTATCGCATGCCTTATTGGCCCGGCCTCGTGCATAGTGAACCTACATGCTGGATTGTGCGAAAATTCGGCGTGAACGCTTGGCTGTATCTCGCTCTATTGATTTCGTGACAGACAGACATACCCAGACATAAGCGCTTTATTATGGTTGGATCAGAGCACTTTATGAAACATGGTTATGAGGATAAGTGCTAGGACCACAAAAAATAAACAGGTGACCGAGAATTGAAAACTCGTAAGAGCAGGATGTGGAGCTCAGCTTCGCAGGTGTGCGGTTTTCCTCAGACTTCACTGACTTCGAGAGGAAATTATTTCTATTTTATTTACTAAAACGCTCACGGTCCGTCAAAGAGCAAAAGAAAAAGGTCAACTCAAACAAACCTTCGAACAGAACATGATAACAGATTGTCCAAGGTTTAGGAAGATAAATCATAAACGTATAGCCAAAAACCACGAACCTAAGGCCCAATAGGATATAACAATATCAAGCGTGTGATGAGTGTACGCGGTATTGGATTGAGGAAAAATTTAAATTGTGCATCCCCCAAAATAATTTATTATACCATTTTGGAGTGCCAGCGAGCTTATGGGCGGAAACTATCTGACTAGACACTGATGAAGATACATTCTTATCGATAACGAGTTAAACCGAACGCGTGTTTGGTTCCATCATAGTAAATAGCGAAAACTGAAGGAACACTCAAAAGCTTTGATGCACAAGGGCATGACCTGCCACTAGGCTGGCAGTGGCAGAATATGATCAACTGAAACAGTGGAAACTTTTTCTTTGTTCAATTGAAGAGATGATGAACCACACTCTCGTCTATAAGTTGACCAAAGAAATGTATTGATGTCAGGGCCCGGCACCGATGGTTTGGGGTCAAACTGGACTTCGTTTTTGGAGTTAAAAGCAACGGGGACATCGTTTTTATGAGGTCCTGGAGGAAGCGCCAAAAAACACGACGAACATGTCAGGTTTCACGAGTTGAACGTGTTCTTTCGCAGACGCGCGAATTTCAAATGCAAGACTCAAACAAACAAATGGCTTGTTTACAGCGCACAAACAATCACATAGCTCCGAATTTGGGCTATGAGTATACAATATTACTCCAAACTATGTTATGTAAAAAGTTCCCAAAACTTATGTGTCCTAATATCCGTTCTCGAATTTGTTGGTTTCTAGACCAACTACCAAACCAACCAACTTGGTTGGTTCGGAGCATAAATATCCGTGAGTTCAATAAGTTTCCGACCTTTTTGATTTGGACGATTAGAACGGTCAAAAATCTATCATATAGTGAAGAGAGCGGATCAAACCGTTGCCTCTCCTTTTTTTGAGTCAAAACTAGTATAATTCTACGCGTTGATAGATGTCGCGCTCCAATCACTTGCGGTGTCCTTTGAAATATGTGGCGAAAAATGCATCGCAGGATTATTGAGGCTACAGATTTAGTTGGCTTAGGAGATTCTCGGCATTCCCAGCATCAAATTGGTACTATACCCAATGTCAGAGCCTTTAACCGACTCGAAATGTTTTCTTTTTGCTTTTTTGTTATATTACATACCTCAAAATGCGCTTTTTTCGCTTTTTTGTTACTATTTTGGTTGAATAAAGGTTTCCCTACTGATTTTCACGTCGAGAGGGACTTCGTGAATTTTCGCGAAGTCATGGGGGACTTCGTTTCCTAAAAAGCTCCAAACCAACGCGTGCCGGGCCCTGATTGATGTGTATTGTTTGTATGTATGTTGTGTATGTTGTGTTTGTGTATGTTTGTTTGTTTGTATTGTGTTTCTTGTATTGATCACTTTATTGGTCTCAAGAAACTACTTTTTTCACACAAACCTTCACTCATTCAATCATAAATGTCAAATAAATCAATATTTTTTTTACTTTTCATTGGTTTTCTAATCTGTGGAACAACGGCGACTAAGGCTCATTAGGCAGAAATTTCATCGTTTTCGTGAGATAAGCGATAGCATTAGCGTGCAAAGATAATAAAACTACTGTGATGGCGCTCCTCAAGCTCTGTGGTCTTGTTTTACTGGGTTTGTTGATTAACAAATATTTTTATATCTTTCGCACAGCTCTGTTGCTGTGTTTTTCTTTTTGATCAACAACAGGACAAAAATTAAATTTTACTTGAGTTTTTGCCAAGGTTTGTAATTTTACATATGCTGAATTCTACGCTGTATGCAGCTGCACGTTGTACATGAAAGTCTTGCAGTTGTGTGGGCCAGCTACGAGAAAATGCAATGCAGGTTTTCAAAAAGTAACTCAATTTGAAGGTACTCCTTGTTCCAGGCCTTGCTCTGCTAGCCCAATGTGCTCCTCAGAAGAAATTCCGACGACACATGATTCGTGGGCGACCGATGGGCGGACTCGTTCCAAAGCCGACTGTAAATAATTAGGCACTGTTTTCTTAGGAGTAAATTTCTGTATAGAGGAACGAAAAGTATGTCTCGAATGATGCTGTGGTGCAGGACTGGTTCGAAAACAGCGTAGATCATTTCAATAGCTCAAACACGGCTACATACCAACAGGTAAGCTTGATAAGGGGGATTTAGCAGACTACTTTTGGAGTCGAGCTATCTCAAAGTGCCAATTTCAGAGATACTGGTACAATCAACAGTGGTACAAGCAAAATGGACCAGTGTTTTTGATGTTGGGAGGAGAATCAGCCGAGGATCCGTACTGGGTACAAGACGGTGAGTTAAAGATGCGTTATAAGATAAAGTGATCACGAACATTGTCTGACAACAAAGATTATTATTCTCATGTGGTACTTGCTGCCGTTCAAGCACTGCTCAAGTAATTTTGTAAGTCTTTCAGTTGCATAAGGCAGGCGTTGCTTTTTCTTTAGGAGTTGCAAATTCTGACTTCCTTTTACGTTATAAAAACCTCTATATAATGGAGCTCTTAGGTACTTTTGAAGGCAGTGTCCCAGTAGATTTTGCAATTCCATCTTTTTGCATGTTTTGGCACTTCTTGACCCGTAGACCCCGAATCTGACTTTTGAAACGGGTGAAAAGACTTTTTCCGGGGCGTTTATCCCAAAGACAGCACGGACGAGAATTTCGATGGAAAGTTGGGAGGCCCTGGCACGAAGACCCTGCTGCCTGTAATTTTTGCTTTGGATAGCATGCACAATGCGGGGGGGGGGCACGCGGAAGGCGACGATGCGGTCGTGGGGTCCCGCGCCGAATGGTGTAAGCGAAGTCGTCCGAGTGCGCGCCGATTGGGGTTGCGCGGAGCGGAGGAACGGACACCTCAATCCGCCTCCGCGGGCTGCTGGTCCTTTCGTCCTACTGTTATGCATCGTGTTGGGACCAATAGTCCGCGGAGGCGGTACCTAATTGAGGTGTTCGTTCCTCCACCCGGTTGCGCGCGCCGGTTCAAGGGAGATTTTCTCGGCCCAGGGGGAACATCAACCAGCCGGACTGCGTCTGGAAGTCAGGGGATGACCAGGAACCCACCATGGCAATATCCTCCAGGGTGCGAATCTGCCGGGACACTGTCTTCAAGGGAAATAGAAGTGGAGAAAGCTGCATAACTCTGGCTTTTCTTCGTTACTCAAATTCGGTGGGATAATATTCGTAGAAATTATTTAAGATGGAAAACAGCAAGCATGATATAATACCGCTTCTAATTGTAAAGAAAATCACCGCACTCTGCCGAAGTTCGCTGTATTCTGGGTTGCATGGCCATACCTTGCTTCAGGATGGACAAATTCTGAATCCAAAAACACCATTCAACTCTTGACGAGATGCATCTTTTGGAATAAAAAGGGCCTGTTTGAGCACAATAGTCGGTCAAAATTCAACGATGTTTCCAAATTTTTGCTTACGGTAGAGTGATCGCTGTGCTGACTGAACACTATGAGCAGCACAATATGAAAGAATCGGGAGAGTTCGTAAAATTTGACCGACTATCGTGCCAAAACAGGCGCTTCTGCACATCAGAAAATGATCTCGTCGAGCTGAGTTGAACGGTGCTTTTGAATTCAAAATTGTTTCGATCTGAGGCAAGATATGGCAGTGCAACGCAAAATCCGGTGAACTCCGGCATTGATTTTTCACAAATTACAAGCGGTATTGTACTTCTGATAATATTTTTATTATAGCAACGCTCGAATGGACAAAAATGGCAGCTGATAATGGTGCTTTTGTTTTCCTCCTCGAGCACCGATATTACGGTGAAAGCAAACCCACAAAGTAAGTTTTATCATGTTATTGTGAAAAGGTTCGAGAAAATCTCAAGAAAAGATAGATTTCCCAGGTGACTCGGCATATATGAAAACAAAATCATTGTAGAAACTACCAAAAAACTATAACTGAGTAGATCAGCTTAGAAAATTATCGTAATAAATAAAAGAGAACTCTCATAACATCACGTCAACCTTTTCGGGTTTTTTTTTTGGAATAAATTGATTCGTCGTCCAGTTCTCTTCTGCAAAATTTTACTAGAGCCTGACCAAATGCAGCACTACTTCTAGAGATATGTCCACTTCGAATCTGGTCTACCTAAGTTCTGCTCAAGCCCTTGAAGATATGGCTGCGTTCATAGTCGGCATGAAGCAGAAGTTCCCACAACTTGCCGCTGCTCCTTGGGTCACTTTTGGAGGGTCCTATTCAGGTATTTGAAGCAGGAGGCCATATTGATCAATTTTAAAAATCGGGCCATTGGGCGCTATTTTGCCATTGTGGAACATACATCATCGTTATCGTTGCATCCGATCCGACATGGCGATTGGGGATTCTTTCGCATCGCCTGATAGGGCAGAAGCTCCTAATCCTGACCGATTGGGAGGTATGGCCGATTAAGCGATGCGCACGAAAACTGAACCATAGTAAGGCGCCATTCACCGATCAGGAGCTTCATAGCCGCAAAACAGCGCCCGATCATGCCCGATTCGGAAAAGATAGCACCGCCCTTAGTTACTTTGTAAAGAAACCATGAAACTACTAATATTGTAGGAGCTTTGGCCGCCTGGGCTCGTGTCAAGCATCCCGAACTTGTTGCAATGGCTGTTGGAAGCAGCGGTCCTGTACAAGCTGAAGTCGACTTTGTTGGTGGGTACTTTTGCGAGAAAAATTGAGCGAAAAAAGAAAAATTTTGTTTTAGAGTATCTCGAAGTGGTGCAAAACTCTATCACTCGCAATTCTCAACAATGCGCCCAGTCTGTGACTACCGCATTCAACCTCGTCGCTTCTCTTCTCACAACAGCTTCTGGACGACAAAGTCTAAAAACCACATTCAAGTATGGCTGCAACAAAAAAATTTGCCTGAACTTTTTTGAAAACGTCCTTTTAGCCTTTGCGAAGATTTGGACCCAACGAATGCACAACAGATAGAGACATTCTGGCAAACCGTATACAGTCCTTACATGGAAGTTGTGCAATATTCTGGAGACAACGCAGTAAGTTTTCTCGCAAAGAAAAATTTCTGCAAGCCATGATTTTTGTAAATATGACGATTTTGCTATGTATAAGTGAAAGCAGGCCAGAGAAATTCACATCAATAAAACGACGGTCCTCGAATTTTTTTGAGAGGTTTCACAGTTTTCAAAGAGCTGTATTCACTTCCCCAGAAAGTTTTTTTTAAGGAGCTAATCTTAATTGAAATTTGAGTAGCCATGTAAAAAGCAAATTTCAGTTTGATCATTTTCAAGTAAAGATTTCACTTGCCAATGTTATAACAAAATCCCTCCCCCTTCCCCTCTCATGCGCCATATGTGTGCACGTAAAATCTTTCTTATCAAAGTGAATCACAGTGAATCGCTTTATTAACAAATATTCTTGAATACATCAGAATGGTAGGGTAAATTTCTTCGTGAGGTCCTGTAGAATTCCGGAAAAATTCAAAAATTGTTTGCACGTTTCCCTATAATGAAATTTCATAATTGGAAGCGCAGCGGCGACTAATGAATTGACTTGAACGTTTGATTACACAATGTTCGAATTATCTGAGAGTGCAAATTACTTGCATAATTGTATGACTCATCATTGCGGTCATAGAGGTTTGACCAAATATTAATATTGCCTTACCACTCAAAATCATTTTAACTTCCTTCCAAGTGAGTGTGTTCAAAAATTAATAGGGTTTGATGCGACGTCCAACATAATTCTTAATATAAAACTCGTTATAGGGTCTATTCCACAACTTGCTCACTATCCAAAACGCAGTTTGCCGCTTCCATGATAGTAACGCAAATTCGCTGACAAAACTGAAACAGGTAATTGTGATGGCAATACCCTAGCTCCACTATACATTTACATCACAGGTAAACAACTATTTTAACCAGCTGGAAGGCTACACTGGATGTGAAGATATTGACTACCAAAGTTTCATTCAGTTCATGCAGGATACTTCCTATGGCGATGCTCAAGAAAGTGAGACGAGGCTCCAACCCATTTTGTGGACTTAAATAACTCTTCCAGTTCGCGCTTGGGTATGGCAAACATGCACTGAGTTCGGTTACTACCAGTCGACAGACTCTGACACAGCCGGACCATTCTTTGGAGGAAAACCAGCTTTACCTGTCCAGTGAGTGCACAAAGCCGCAGAAACTATACCATCAATTTAGTGATTTTCAAAAGAAAAACGGTAATTTTCAATGGAGAAGAAGCTAACAATAACGTTTTCTATAGCATTCAAAAAACATGACGCTCGATGGAGCGAAATCAACCAGAAAGAAATACATGCTAGAAGAGGCTTATGCTATGAAAATATTTTCGCCTCTGAGAAATGAAAGATGCCTTACTAAATAGTAGGTATTCTTTCGCTTTGCTCTATATCCACGATAACCGCGGGTAAATGACGGATTGATGGTCATCAAAACATTTTGAACCTAAAAAACTTTGGCGTGAACGATGTTACAGTCATTTCCTGTCACAAAAAAAAATCACGAGCGTAGGGTGACTACTATACTTTCGCTATACGAAACACAACACGATTCACCCAGTGTTATCTGAGCTCACACTGGAACATAACCCAAAAACCAAATTCTATCAAAATAAAGATTATCCCATTTTAGGAAAACAAAAAACCTTCTCAATTCTCAGGAGCGAAAAGAAATGAAAACCTCCAATAGTGAGGTTCCTGACATACAAAAAGAGCAAGTAATCAATTCCGTTTGAATTTTTTTGCAATTTCATGTCAACAAATTTAATGAAATCCAAAGCTTAGCAGGAAATGGTCAGAGGTTAACCCAGCCATCCCAAACAAACTAATATCGTCAGAGTCGCTTCAAAATGCTGATTTCAAATATATGTCCATTATCTGCCAAGCGTTTGTTTAAAAGGAGTTATGAGTGTTTAAATGTGCGATCTGTCAGGTGTTCTGTGACGCATGTTCCACGAAATACGTTTTAGAAACATATGCTTAGGTTTTCGGTGAATGTGTTTCTTCCTTGTAATCAAAATGCCCGTAACCACTGTAAATCCGCACCATCAGGCTGCTTTCCAACGAACTGCAATTGTTGAAACTCGAATACTTTCTCATATCTGAAAACTCATGACTCCGTCCAGATAGTTGCTTGACAGACAGTAAACATATATGTATTGAAATCAGCGTTTTAAGGCGAGTCCGACGATATGCAGCTGGTTTGGAATGGTGGGTTCAGTTCTGACCATTTCCTACTTGGTGTTTTGCCCAGCCCAGAATTACCAACTAATTATTCATTGAACAGAGATTGTGCTACATCGCTCCTCAGATTGAGTTAATGATTCTCAAAGTGGAGGTCCACAAAATAAGTTCTGGCGTAATGCAAAAAAATCTTTGTCGTTGCTGTTGCGATAAGCACGGCTCGTTTTTTTCTAAAGATGCAAAGTCGCCCGATTCATGTGACATCATCGCAGCATAGCCATATCTCGCTTCAGAGTGTGGGCTAATATTCTATCCAAGGCACCATTCGACAGCTCGGCGCGGCAAAGCTTATGATATACTAGCTGGCTTACCCGGCTCCGCCGTATCCGGACCAAACTTGGCACACATACACTTCGGGCCCCGGCGGGTGTCACAGTCCACTTTTCGTTATCGATCGATGTCGATTTTACCGATTTTTATCGATTTTTTTGCAGAGTTCACCTACAGGGCTAGGAGTTGGCACAGGGGGGGGGGGAAGTGAGCATGGGGATTCCGAATACAATATTAGATTTCAGGATCGTCCATTACTTTTATCGATTTTATCGATTTTTTTTGTAAAGTTTGACCTGCGGGGCTGGAAGTTTGCACAGGGGGGTAATCGAGCATGCTGATTACGAACACAGTATTAGTTTTCAGGATCGTCCATTACTTTTATCGATTTTATCGATTTTTTTGTAAAGTTTGACCTGCGGGGCTGGGAGTTTGCACAGGGGGGTAATCGAGCATGCAGATTACGAACACAATATTAGTTTTCAGGATCGTCCATTACTTTTATCGATTTTATCGATAATCCAGAAAACCAATATTGTATTCGGAATCCCCATGCTCGATTACCCCCCTGTGCGAACTCCCAGCCCCGTAGCTCAAACTTTGCAAAAAAATCGATAAAATCGATAAAAGTAATCGATAATCCTGAAAACCAATATTGTATTCGGAATCCCCATGCTCGATTACCCCCCTGTGCCAACTCCCAGCCCCGTAGCTCAAACTTTGCAAAAAAATCGATAAAATCGATAAAAGTAATCGATAATCCTGAAAACCAATATTGTATTCGGAATCCCCATGCTCGATTACCCCCCTATGCCAACTCCCAGCCCCGTAGGTGAACTCAGCGAAAAAATCGATAAAAATCGATAAAATCGATATCGATCGATGACGAAAAGTAGCCTATGACACCCGCCGGGGCCCGTAGTGTATGTGTGCCAAGTTTGGTCCGGATCGGTTCAGAAATGGAATTTTCTATTCGGAACATACGTACACACAGACATACATACAGACAGACAGACAGACATACAGACAAACAGACATTCAGCTTTATATATAAGATTAGTGCAGCGTGGACACGGTAGGAGGTCGGATTCCACGAATCCTTCCAGAGTTTTGCTTACAGTAGGTTATTCAGTGTGCTTATTCATTGCACTCACTTGGCAACCTACCGTAAGCGTAATCGATTCGTGAAATCTTCCTACTGTGTCCAAGCACGCACTTCTATATGTCAGAAAATGCACTGCGCCAAGCGGAATCGAGTGGCGCTTTTGGATTGAGAATTCCTCCGCTCTAAAGCGATATATGACACGCTGTGGTGATGTCACATGAATCAAACGACTTTGCATTTTTTTTCAGAAAGTAGTATGAGTATTGTTATTTGTGCATGCTTAGAATTCCGCAGTTCAAGTTGAACTCTAAAACCGGATAGAACTTTGGAGACCTCAAACATATTCTAGGCACTAATTTCCATTTTCATTTAGATACTATATCGATGAGTGCACAAACATCTACGGAAGCGAGTACAATTCAGCCAGTGTAGCTGATGCTGTTGCGAAAGTGAATGCCTATTATGGTGGTCGCGATAACATGCAGGTGATTTGTGTTCCTCTAATAAAGCTGCTGAAGAATTCGGAAGAAAACATGCAAATCTATGAACAAGCGTGAACAAAATTGTTCGATGATGTTTTACGCCCCGAGCATAATTCACGCGATTTAATCACTTGGTTTGGCAATACTCCAGTTGTTTACAGCTCATTGTGAGCGATTTTGTGTACACACAACTTATAGCGTTTGATCAGTTTTCCATAGTTCGCACACTCGCATTTCTAGCCCGCTAAGGATGGGCCAAAACATTTGGCACACTGCCGAATCGCGGGTTGACTAAAATCGGGTGAAGTATGTCCTCGGCCCTAGGCCTGGGCATGCTTCACGCGATTTGGCAATACTCCAAACGTTCATAATTCATCATAAGGGGTTTCTGAATGTACGGAAGATAGGTCATTTCATCAACCTACGAAAGTTCTACACTCTGTGCATTTGGGGTCCGCCAGTATTGAATTTGAAGGCATCTGGCAAATTTCCAGATCGCTTGGCGACTAAAATAGTGTGAGGTATGTCCACGACCTTGCACGACTTCAAATAGAATACCTCGAGCTTTTCCCATCACATACAGACAACATTTTCTGCACTTCCATAAAGACTTGGCAATTGGCCTACTACTTCTTTCCTTGTTGATACAGAAGTATGAAAGTAAGCATCTACTGCCTTTTCTAGTCATCATACATCATACTTCCAAACGGTAATATCGACCCATGGCATGCACTTGGAAAACTGAACAGCAGCATCTCTACAATCATCCCTGTGGTCATTGATGGTGAGCTGATTGGTTTTCATCTTCACAGAAATAACTCAAGAATATGTCTAGACTAGTTTTTGAATTTTAACATCAAATGAATATCATTCAGGAACCGCTCACTGCGCTGACATGTATGCAACATCGCTAAACGACTCTTCCGAAGTGACTGCTGCACGAGAAAAAATTGCCAACCAGATCAAGCAATGGCTGCAGCAAATCAACTAATTTGGACTGGGATACAGATTTATAGAGAGAATAAATAGCAGAGCACTGTCTACATTAAAGCATTTGTTGCTAATTGCTTGCGACGACTGCTTCGCACTTTTACCTTTACGCTATACTTGCCTTGATTGACCAGGCGATAGTAGGGATGATCATTTTCAAAACGTAAAAAGTAGTCACGTCACTACCACAGCAGATGGATCTGTCAAACACTTCGATGTGCTGCCCACTTTTCCATTTACTCTTTATCCGTTCTCAGATTTTTTTCCATCTATTGATTCCCATGCGCGAACTTAATGGACCAAGATTTGAAATTCCACCTCAAATTCAAAGTTTGTAATAACTTTCGGGCTTGGGCGCGATAGGTAGGAATAGCTCTGTATCCTTCTTGCCACAAAAAGTACAAAAAAAATCAAGGAGCAGTTTAGTTCAATGAATGAAAATCAATAGCAACAAGAGAAAAAATGAAATAAATGATTGACGAATGAGGAAGAAGGAAAAAATTCCGGAGCTAACAAGTGAATGGTCAGAAGTCGAAGTCGCCAATCTAGACAAGCTGCATAACAATGCAGCATAGAACGCCGACTTCAAATCTGTCTTCCGTATCTGCTGAGCGGCTCTGTAGTCAAAGTTGCAAATAGTGCAAAATAAGCACATCATTGCCCTACTAGCTCATCTTTGGGTATGGGCCATTTGAAGTAACCTAGCCGCATGTTTCGGTCCATCAATGTCGAACATGGCTCTGTACGTCTAAATTTGCCCTTTACACGCACGATTTCCTAGTAAAATAATGGCCTCTAATGGCTTATAACTTCATCCACAAAGTATATAGCAGATAAGGAAGAGAGATTTGAAGTCAGGGTTTTATGCGGCATCTAATGCTATGCAGCTTGCTTGGATTGGCCCCCTCGATTTCTAACCATTCTTTTACAAAATTTCTGAATGCTCAAGGCTGCTCTATTTATCTCTGAAATACGCGCTGGAAGATCGTGTGGCGACCCGCTCGTAGTGGTCGAAACGGCTGATCCCCACGGCAAGTTTCGAAATAACCTGAGATAATATGGATTAGTATAGTATGGTAGACTTCGTACAGCGTTGCACAAGTTCTACAAAAATCGTTGTAGCAATGCATCGAAGTGGCAATCATGATTTTTCTTGAGAGAGTGGAGTGACAGAGATATTTTTCGTAAGGGTGGCTTCAGGCGCTTCCTTCGAAAAATTTTAGAAAAATTTCTGACATGATTTTAAAAATTTTGCAAGCTTATTTTCCTTGTCCCAGCACGTATCAAGCCAATGCAGAATCTCTTAAAGTCAGTGTCGGCCAGTATATGCTTCGGTCTAAAGTAAATTGTTTACCTTTTCCGAAGCCTCGCAAATCGGCCTTGATCCTGTCCGTCCACTTTATCTTGCGTCTACTCTTGAGTCTTCCAATTGGCGTCTCTACCGCCGAGGCTAACTTCGTGATGTGGCTTTCCTTGCTTCTGCGCACATGCCCGTACCATCATAATCTCTTTTTCTTAATTTTCTGGGCAGGAGGAGCTTTTTGGAGCTACTTTCATTTATGCGCCAGTGTCATTGCAGATGTGCTCTCAGTATGACATCTAAGGTAGCATCTTTGATTCCATGATAATGAGCTTTCGCTCCTCATTCGGTGTACATGGCCGGCACTCACTGCCATAGAGTGGTGCTGTACAGATAAGGTCTAGTACAGCTGGGACTTCACCTGCACTAGCATACGTCTGTCGCACAGAATTCGTTTTGAGGTCCTCCACTTTACTCAGAACAGACTTGTTCAATCTGTCTGCCTCCTCCAGTTGTGAACGCTCTGCTGAAGCGCTACTCAGGGCACGGCAAATGTTGGTTTAGAGCATTTTTGAGAACCAAGTCCTTATGAATTGGCGAATCCTTTTTACAACGCCCCCTTTGACGTCAAAATCGGTAGGAAAACCTTTGTTCACTCAACATAACAACACAAAGGCAAAAAAGTATAATTTGAGGCTGTTGATACAATAAACGAGCAAAATAACATTCTGAGGCATTTGATTGGAGTTGTTGGAGAAGGTTCTGTTGGAGTTCGGTTGTCGAGAACCCTCGGCTAACATTCACCAGATCTGGGGCCTATGTCAATTTGGTGATGCAGTTGTCGTCGCATAGTTCAAGCAACGGCGTGACATGCATGTGATTGGAGCGCGTTTTCTTCAGTGCGTATGTTTATGCAATTTTTGTGTCAAAAGAATTAAAGAGGCAATGGTTCGATTCGGTCTCTCCTTATATGACAGATTATGAGCGTTCTAATCCAAATCAAGAGTTATGCTAAACCAAAATAGTTGGTTTGATGTTCATGTGGAGACCAACAAATTCGGGAACGGATATTGGGACACGTAAGTTTTTGAAAGTATTTACATATTGTAGTGAGTAATATAACACACGTAGTCTAGATTCAGTGCCTTGTGATCGTTCTTGAGCAGTAGGCAAGCCATTTGTTTGTTTGTGCGTTTAGAATTCGCGCGCTTGCAAAAGAACACGTTCAACGAGTAAAACCTGACATGTTTGTCAATCTTCTTCCGGCGTTTCTCTCCGGACCGTGCAAAAACGATCCTCCTTGCTTTTTATCCCATAAACGAAGTCCACTATGACCCCGGGCCATCCGTGCCGGGCCTGAAGCTACTTCCAGTGGCGTACCGAGAGGGGGGGGGCGCCCCTTCCCGAGAATGGTCACGAAATTTTTGGAAGTCACCTATATGAGCTATAAAAATGTGCAAGTGACTTGTTTATACTTGTAATCAACTAAAACAATTTTTTAAATCTTTCAAAAATTCACCTTAGCCTTTAAAAAAATATTTGGGGGCGTGGCTGACGCCACGCCCCCTTTCTCTGGAATTTTGGGGTTATGGGCCCGTGAAATTTTTATAAAGTATACCAAAAATTCTTTCGAAGCGCGTGGCTAAGCCACGCACTTTCATCAGAAGAAAATTCTTGTCGCCCCCCCCTCACCGAACGGATCCTGGGTACGCCACTGGCAACTTCCTGTATGATACTGCATGGAAATTTTTTCTCTTCACCACCAATCCCATGATTGCTAAAGCTTTCCCATGTCCATTACTTCGCCTTTATGTTGCTTTCGGCTTCACCCTATACAATTCTGATCTGGTCATCCATTTTTCTACCTTATCCTCCTCTTTCTGCTATTACCTTCAAGAATACATCAGCGTACAGAAGTGTTCCTGCGAAGAGTTGTTAAGGTGTGAATAACTTTGATGAAGAAGCAGAGAAAACCAAATCAAGTTTGGAGTACATCATATTTTGGTAGTACGCAAACTCGAATTCTTGCAACCTGCAGCCGTTTGTTTCCGCCATTCAAAATCTCAAAGACAAGCGTGTGGTAGATTACTTATTCATTGACTCCTCCGCCACCTTCCCCTTTTTGGAAGGGACAGAATTTAAGAGGTACCTTGTCGAGATCTTTCTTTAGAAAAAAAAGCTGGGTGCAACTCCCTCTGTTACTCTCTAGCAGGGCACGGCAGGAGTCCGTTTCTAGGCTTTTTGAAAACGAAGTCCCCTGACTTTCGCAAAATTTTACTAAGTCCCCTATGACCCTTATCGGAAACGTTGATTAGGACTTTGGCCATACTTTACTCGCATACCCGTATTACCGGTGTTACTAGTGTTACTCGTGTTACTGGTGTTGCTAGTGTTAGCGCTTTTAATTTGTTGAATAACAAAATGATCACAATACAGTCTCTTTTCAAAGCGTAATATCAGACTGGTGAGTAACACTCGAAACCCTAGTAACATGGGTAACACCGGTAACACGGCTAATAAACTATGGCCAAAGCCTAAAAAACCTAACCTAACTTGTGTTTTTTGGGCCCACAAAGACATTATACCTTTTGCTTTTTTGCCCGGATATTGAACTCCAGCCTGTTTCCAGACGATCTGTGCCAGGGCCCTGCACGAGTCGGTTTCTAGGGTTTCTGAAAACGAAGTCTCCCCTGACTTTCGGAAGTTTTACGAAGTCCCGTTTGACCTACCTGCTTAGGAGAAGATGAAAACAAGAAAAATTGACTAGTCTGAAAGAAAAGACGTAAGACAAGAGTGAAAATCCAAATTGGAGCTGAATACTACGCACGCACAAGATTTTGGCATTAGAGCGCTATATCTAACAAAGCGAGAAGAAATGAAGGCAAAAAACAAAGGAAAGGCAATGATATGAAAATGTCTTCATGCTCAGGGATAGATTTTTGACCGGGAAATCCTTCCATGCTAAAAAGATCCGAAACTTATGTGAGTGAAGAAAATATATGCTCCAGACGATCTCAGATCGTCTGGTGGCCGTCTGGAGACGATCTAATTTTGGAAAAGGTGCTCTTCACATAAGTTTTCAAATCTTTTTACATAATACTTTCGCAAATAATTTTCTATACATACAGTTCAATTTTGGTGTCATATGCTTCTGCGTGCGCTGCAAACAAGCAACTTGTTTATTATAGCCTTGTTTTCAACTCGCGCGCACTTTTCGCCATGCACGATAGAGCATGTCAGTCGTGTAATAACCTGTCCGAAATGCTTGTGTTCGACTAAATGGCGCTTATTTTTTTGCTCGGTTCCGACTAATCAAAAACGATATCCCCTTTGCTGTTTGCTTCAAAAACGAAGTTCAGCCTGCTTCCAGACGATCTGTGCCGGGCCCTGATCTATGCCCGGCCCTGCTCACCAGATCTCTCCATCAACCCAAGCAGAGTGGCGGCATATATAGCCAAGGTCAAACGTGGGGTGTGGCATGCCACTCCTGAGGGGTGGGGGTCGTATTGAGGGATCGGGGAGGAGAGGAGTCGTTATCGAGGTGAGCTGATGTTAGCAATAACATGATATTAGCTAACAATGACGAGCACATTGATGTTTTACCCTACCATCTACGTACAGTAAGGTGAAAGAAGCACTATAAGCATTAGACCATCATTTTCGTAACTAGAATATCAAATAACCCCTGTGGGCCAAGTTTC